AAGGGGGTGTTTTGTCAGGAAACTCAGGCTTCTAAGGCCCAGGCCCGTTTTTCTGAGATGTTCAACCACCCTCCTGGTCACCTGACCCAGAGGAATCTGAGCAGGCAGCTTTACCGGAGACTTGTGATCCTGCCTTTATGTTTACTGGAAGCTAAAATGTCTTCCCGGTTGAATTTTCTGCCCTCTAGCCATCCAAGATGTCTCAGGAGCCAGCATTATGGAACGGGATTGCCTGTACTAGGACCTGGGTGAACAGTGTCCCTATGTCACAGGCCCTAAGTCTTACCTTTCAGGCACCGAGTTCTGACTTCTTGCCCACTGTCTCTGTGCTCTGGGAACATGACACATTTCCGTGAGCTGTTCATCCTGGCTCACCTGCTTCCCTCTGGGTTTCTACCACTCTTTTTCAAGGGCAATAAACTTGAGTAAGTACCTCATAAAAGATATCCAAACTCCTGACCACAAATGGTCAATAAACAGGTGAGAAAGTTTACCTTGCAGGTAGTTAGGAAAATACAACTTCAAATCTCAACAGGATATCACTACGAGCCAAGGGGAACTGCTTCTATAAAAAAAGACCGTCATGCCTGCATCCGGATGAAGACACAGAGCAATCATCTCTTACATAGTGGAGCCTGGACAAAGCTGGTGCCACTGCCTGAAAAGCCACTGTGTGGTTGGTAGAATGTTCACTTTCTGCAACAGAAACGGTGATCCGTGGTCGGGCAGTTTCCCTTGTTCACATATCCCAGATGATGTATGCACACAGGCATCAAGATACGTCTTCAAGAGTGTGTGCATACATCATCCTTCCAGTGAGCTAACGCTGGTAGGAACGCAAGTAACCATCCATAGTAAAATGAAGTCAACTCTAGCACATTCACACAACAGTGGAGGTGAATGGTTGCAACAGGCCACAATACAGAGGTAGCTCACGAAAACATTCTGTCATCAAAAAGGCAGTAAATTGTATATGGATTTAATTCATTCCAACATCCAAGTGTGTGCCTGCGTGTGTGAGAGCGTGTGCATGCATGCATGCATGTGTGCAAATGTGTGCGTGTATGTGCCTGTGTGTATGCACGTGCATGCATGTGAGTGTGTAGGTGTGTGAGCGTGTGTGTGCGTGCATATGTGCCTGTGTATGTGTGCATGCATGCATACATGTGTGCAGGTGTGTGCCAGTTTGTGTGTGTGCCTCTGTGTGCACATGTGTGCATGCATGTGAGTGTGTAGGTGTGTGTGTGCATGTGTGCATGCATGCATGCCTGTGTGCAGATGTGTGTCAGTGTGTATGTGCATGTGCCTGTGTGTGTATGCGCATGCATGCATGTGAGTGTGCAGGTGTGTGCGTGCACACGTGTGTATGCGTATGTGTGTATTTAAAGTTGGTTACTCTGAGTGCTAAGATACAGGCTTTAGAAAAACTTAATAAAACAGATCACAGAGATATTAAAATTCAGGCAGAGGAATTTAATGGAGTATCAATTTCAACACTTCATTAAAAGGTTGGAGAGGAACAGCCTAAGGTTTTCAAACAGGAATTGTCAAATGGCAGAGGCTCTGTCACAGATAATGGACTCTTGTGCCACTGTCAGATTTAAGGAGATTCAATGAAGCCATAGTCTCATACGACATGCGTTCACTTTTTGTGAAGAAAATGTTAAACTGGTGGTCAGTTTGTAATAATATTATCCCTAAAGACTAGATAGAGTTGGTTAAAGCTGTTTTAGAGCCTGGTCCACAATTACAATGGAGAACCTGGTTCAGAGAAGACACCAAGATGATTGAACAACGGAGTAAAACTAGAGGTATGGAAATCTCCCAGGATCAACTTCTTGGAGAAGGAGATTATGTACCAATGTAATTCCTATATGATGGTCACATCCTGGCTTTATGCTGTGCAGCAGCTTTGAGTGCTTGGGACAGAATTGAAGAAGGAGAGAAGATCGAGTCATTTACTAAAGACATACAGGGTCCAAAAGAAACCTTCATGGACTTCTTACAAAGACTGACATCAGCAGTAAATAGAATGGTACCAAATTTAGAAGCTAGACAAATGATAATTGAACTTCTGGATTTTGAAAACGCTATTTAGCAATGCAGAAGGGTAATTAGGCCATTAGAGACAAGATCAGCACCCTTGGAAGACTGGATCTGAGACACAACTAACACTGAACCTCATAACCATAATGAAGTACGAATAGGAGAGGTGATTTCCAGAGGTTTGAGAAAAAAATTGAAATGTCAAGTATTATAATTGTGGCAAAACAAGGACACCTTTAAAAGGACTGTAAACAGGACATTTTTTAGAAACAATGTTTATTCTAAGCATAATTCAAACAAAATGCCACCCCATGATGGATTATGCAGAAGGTGTGGCAAAGACAGGCACTGAACTAATGAATATAGATCAACCAGAGACATTCAAAACAATCCTTTGTCATTGGGTAACTCCAGGAGAGGCCTCTCATGAACCCCTATGCCAAATCCGGTTCAGTCATTTCTTGCCATCATAGAGGAAATTCCTTCCCAGAACAATTAAGAAACCAATACCTATTATAAGAAATTGTACTGCTTTGGATGATAGAACAGCTATAGAAAAGAGAACAACAACAACAAAAAATCAGAGACACCATAAAGCAAGCACTTTGGCAAGCTTCCATGAATAAACAAAGACCAAAATTAAAAATAGGAAAAAATTACGTTATCATTGAAGGTCTGGTAGACCCAGGTGCAGATGTAACAATAATCTCACCAGAATCTTGGCATCCAAATTGGCCTCTTCAGGAGGTAAATGTTCAGTTTTTAGGGATTGGAACTTTATCTCAGGTAAAGCAGAGTGCAAGATAAGTTGAATGTGTAGGGCTGGAAGGACAGGGAGGAAAATTAGAGCCATAGATGGCTAGCCTAGCAATGAATTTGTGGGACTGTGATTTGTTATAGCAAAGCAATACTCACATTAACATTTCTCCAGTCTTAGAAACAGCCTATAGATTAACATATGCTTCTGGGGAAAATATTACAATATATTTTAAAGAACAGGTTGAACAGGAAGAGAACGCAAAAGTTGCTAATCTTCCAAAGGCGCCAACAGTTCTACCTTTAAAAATGGTTGACAGACAACCCTGTATGGGTTGCACAATGGCCTTTAACAACAGAGAAAATGAAGGCTTTAGAACAGCCGGTACAGGGGCAATTAAACGCTCAGCATACCGAAGACTCAACCAGCCCTTGGAACTCCCTCGTATTTGTTATCAAAAAAGAACTCTGGAAAATGGAGAGTGCTATTAGATTTAAGAGCTGCTTATAAGGTAACTCAGCCAATGAATTCTCTACAGGCTGGAATTCTTTGCCTTCCCTATTACCTAAAGGATGGCCTCTTATAGTTATTGATTTTAAAAATTGATTCTTCACTATATCTTTACAGAAAAATGCAGAGAAAATTTTGCCTTCACAATGCCAACTTATAACAATTCTCAGCCTGCTAAAAGATATCAATAGGAGGTCCTCTCGCAGGGAATGTTGAATAGCCCCACCCTGTGCCAATAGCTTGTATGGCAGTCATCAGAAATTATACATAAGCAATTTCCTGAATCTATAATTTACCATTTCCCGGATGACAGTGTATTATCTGATTCTAATGTAGATACTTTAGAGAGAATATTTGAAGAAGTAAAGCAAAATTTTGCCTTATTGGGGAATACAAATTGCTCCTGAAATACAAAGAGGAGATTCTATTAATTATTTAGGCTATAAAAACAGGTTTACAAAACATGAGGTTCCAAAAGATGCAAAATAGGAGACTGTTGACTCTTTACGGCTTCCAAAGATTGCTAGGAGATATTTCCAATCTATGGCCCCACTATTGGGATAAAACTTGATGAACTGATTAGTTTAAACAAAATCTTAGATGGTGGCAAAGACTTAAATAGTTCCAGGAAAGTATCAGCCAAAGCTGAGAGAGAATTGGCTTTGATAGAGGAGAAATTGCAGAAGGCACACGTGGTTCCGATGTTTAATTGCATCGTGGTCACATTCTCCTACAGGATTTTAATGCAGAGGGAAGATATTATCTTTGAATCGATCTTTTATTGCATAAACCAAGTAAAAAATTAAAAATTTATGTGCAAAAATGACCTCTGAGGGGGCTGGAGAGATGGCTCAGAGGTTAAGAGCATTGCCTGCTCTACCAAAGGTCCTGAGTTCAATTCCCAGCAACCACATGGTGGCTCACAACCATCTGTAATGGAGCCTGGTGCCCTCTTCTGGCCTGACAGACAGAATATCGTATACCTAATAAATAAATAAATATTTAAAAAAATGACCTCTGAGTTAATTCTAAAAGGAAAATTGAGATTTCATCAATTAGCAGGAATAGACCCGGCAGAAAGTATAGTACCTTTTAAGGATGATGAAATTGACACATTATGGAAAGAAAGTGAACCTTGGCAAAGAGCTTGTAGTGATTTTTTAGGGGAGAGATTAAGAACAACTATCCAAAAAAGCAAGAGAATTCAACTTATAAAGAGAACTAGTTGGATCCTTCCCCACATTGTAGGGGACACACCAATAACTGATACAAATAAATCAGGAAAGACAGATTACAAATCAGAAAACTTAAGTGGACCAAAGCCCTTATGGTTCTGTCCAAAAGTCACAATTATATACTACGGGTATGTTAAAGAACCTCTCAACAGAGTTACTGATTCACAATATGCAGAAAGAGTTGTAACCACTGGATTTATACCAGATGATACAGAATTGACTATTATTTATTCAGTTACAAGAAATAATCAGAAATATGAATCGCTCCATATACATAACACACATCATGTGTCTGCCAGGTCTTGTAGTACGTAGTACAAAACAGTGCAGAAATCAATCAATGGTTGAAAATATGCTGAAGGTCTCAGAATTTCAGTTAAAAAAACCACACTGGTGTAGGAGGTCCTTCTGTTTGTGTGTTGCTTTCATTGGTTAATGACTAAAGAAATTGCCTTGGCCTAGTTGATAGGGTGGAACTTAGGTAGGTGGAGAAAACAGAACTGAATCCTGGGAGGAAGAAGGGCAGAGTCAGAGAAGCCATGGATCCTCCGCCAGAGATGGACACAGGTTAGAATCTCCGGTAAACCACTGGTATCTGGCGATACATAGATTAATGGAGATGGGTTAAACTAATATGTAAGAGTTAGCCAATAAGAAGTTATAGCTAATGGCCAAGCGGTGTTTTAATTAATACAGTTTCTGTGTGGTTATTTCAGGTGTAAGCTAGCCGGGTGGCTGGGACAAACAAGCAGCCCCTCTCCCTTGCAACAACACACCATGACAACAGCAGAAGTTTAAAAAAATACTTTTCCATCACATGGCAACAAGTCAAGGAAATTATAAGAAAATGTCCTACTTGTTCTTTGTATAATCAGATACCACTACCTGCAGGAAGTAACCCAAAGGGTACTCAAAAGGATGAAATCTTGCAGATGGATGTGTTCCATTTTGTAGAATTTGGAAAACTAGACTATGTACACCACTGATCCCTATTCAGGTTTTCAATAGGAAAAACTTTTTTAATATGAAAAGACTTGATTAGCATTACGTACATCATAATGGATATGGAATTGCAAAAAATATGTTTAAGAGCATACACTTGCAACAATATGTATTCAGTTAGCAGAAGAATTAGATGCACTGATTTCTTAAATGAGTAACATGGTTATGTAAATAAAACCTCAACTTTTATTAAAGAACATTTTACATGGAAAACTTCTGAAAGACCACACAGCTACCCACCTTTGCAACAGTGAATTCATTCTCACCTGCGGATTTCAGGACTGCGTATTTTTTGGTATTGTTCATCCTTTCAAAAATTTGTCGTTGTTTTCTACTTTAAATTTATTTTTGAAATGATGACTTAGAAGTACTATGTTGTGAAATGAGGATGCAGCTCAATCGGTGAAGTGCTCGCCAGACATGCCTGGGTCCCTAGGATCCATTTCCAGCATTAATAACCTGGTGTGGTGGCATATTCCTATAACACCAGCACTGCGGAGGTGGAAACAGGAAATCAAGGCTCTCCTCTACCTCAGAGGGATTGAGACCAGGCTGAGATACATAAGACCCTGTCCAACTTACTAACTAAACATTAGAATGGAGTTACCAAGTTGCATCCGAGTATCATTTCATGCATGTGGTGTATGTTTATGCGCACGTATGCATAGCATGATCCAATATTTGTAGATGCGGGTGTGTGTGTGTGTGTGCCTGTAGAAGCCCACAGTTGGAGCTGGAGGTCCCCTTAGATCTCTCCAGTTCGCTGTAGCAGGGTCTCTCTCTGAACCTGAAGCTTGCTCTAGCTGCTCTAGCTAGCCAGACTGTCCTGAGAATTCACCTCTATCCCCCAATGCTGGAAGTACTGGAAGATGGCTCTATGCCTGCCTTTTGTATGAGTCCCGGGGTTATGCAGGGCTTTATGCGATAAACCCTTCCCCCTCCACACACACGCACGCACGCGCGAGCACACACACACACACACACACACACACACACACACACCTTCTGCTATTATTGCCGTTCCCTTACCTGCCCCCTAGCTCGGGTCATGCTAACTAACAGGCATGCGTAGGGAACATGACTCCACGCTAATTGTGAGAAACAGAAAGCAAAACTTTTATTTCCAAATTACCCCGGGGCAAAAAGCACGAACACGGAGTCCTGCTGACCTCGTTAGGTCACAGACTGCATTTTAACAAGGATATTTACAAGGGCTGCTACCTGGAGAAAGTTCGCGTGTGTGCCATTCTTGCCTTTAAAGCCGACAGTGTTTGTTTTTAATTGATTACACATTTAACTTTTGAGCAGTTTCGGGGGTGACTTGAAATATAATAAGACTTTTTTTTCTAATTATTATTCAGGGTCGAAATAAAAGAGGAAATGTCTTTATAATGATTCACCCTGATTGCTTGTATTTTGTTGGCTTTTTTGCTTCTAAAAAGCATTTTTCTCTCCCAGTGTGGTTTTACTCCAAGTACAGCTATAACTTAAATCAGTGATAATGAATTTCACACTACAGAGCTTGAATCTAGGCTACGGTTACCGCACAAGCGGTGGCTAAGTTCAAAAACTTGCCAAGAGGAGGTATTTATCCTATTCAAAACAGGTAGCTTTATTCGTCTCGTATGACTTAAGTCATGACTAGGAATTAACTTCAAAAGTAGCATAAAAGCCCTTAAAAATTAAGTTAATAAAACAGAAAAAGGGTGTGAGCAGGGGTTAAAATGGGCTTTCCTGTTGCCTTCATTTATACATGTATTCCCTTATACTTTCAGAGGCCTGGCTGAGGTCATTCCGTTAGTTCATCAGCCAAGAGTAATTTAGGGGTCTGTTTTCTGCCATAGACTGTTAGGAGCGGACCCAGGCCTTACCAATTTATGGAAATCGAGAATTAAGAGCAAAGAGCCAAAAAACGTTCCATTCCCCACAAGTGGCCTGTCCGCAGGGCCTCAAGCCGCCATGCTTTTGAAGCGAACACCCTCACACAGTGGGCAAACGTCCACGCGTTCAATGCTAGTTTTGAGGATGGAAATCTCCAAAGGACACGTTGTGCTCGCTCACGCGTTTTCCCTGGATTTTCTTTCTCACGTCTGACGGTCCGTGTGATTTCACCAAAGCCAGGTTACAGGTTTAGGTGACACCCACCCGCCCATGCAGTCCACACCCGCTGCCTTAGGCACGTCTCACTCAACCAGACTTCAAAGTGTAGAAAGAATTAGAAGGAAGGGACGGAGATTTGTCTAAATATAGTCCCGGTCTGTTTACTTTGCATTCAAGAAGGGGTTTCTCGAGGCAGTCATCACAAACCCCTGCCGAGGAGCATCTCTTAAACTGCTCCCTGGCTTCTTGACAGCTACGCCATCTACCCGTGGGACCTGGGCCTCTGCTTTCGACCATCCGCAGGTCAGTCCATTCAACCTAGAGCCTAGAAGCTGAACCGAAAGGAACCAAGCAGGGGGGAAGAAAGTTGCTTGCTACTCATCTTCCCGCGCCAATCTCTTGCAGGCTGCTCCTGCAGAGCTAAGGGGGCCGCGGGACCGTCCCGGCTGGCGACTCGGGCTCTGTCTCCGTGGGCACGGCCAGGCCGGGGCGGCCTCCCTCCAGTGGCCCCGGGACCTCGCAGGCCCAGCCTCAGAGGCCAGCAGCCTTCGGCCGGAGACCGACTCACCTGCCCTCCGCGGAGGCGATGGAGCGCGCGCCGCTCGCGGGGACCCAGATGCGCGGAGGAGGAGACGCCGGCGCGGGGACACCGGGGAGGGGTGGCGTAAGCAGGAAAGAGGATTACCTAAGCGGAGATGCGGAGCCCAGAAGGAGGCTGCAGACTTTCCCTCTGAAACGGAAGAGGCGGAGGAGGGGCGAGCGAGGAGGAGGAGGAGGAGGGGAGTGCCAACGCCAGGAGGTAGTCGCGCGGGGACCCGGCGCCGGCGTTCTGGGGCGGGCGCAGCCGGAGGGCGAGCTGCCTGGAGGACCGCGGAGGTCACCGCTGCGAAGCCGGGGAGGTGCCCTGCCTCTCTTGGCTGCGAGTCAAGCAGCCCAGTTGCTGCCAGGTCCCCGCCCCTTCTCTTTCCCCGGGCTGGTGGCGTGGAAAGGCGCGGTGACGCCTGTGACTTCTGGGGCGGGTAAGGGCATCCCACGCCTGCTGGAGTCTGGCGTCCGCGACGTCACAAGCACAGTGAATTACATGGGTGGGCCAGGAAGCTCAGGGTCGCCTCATCCACTGTTCAAGGTGTGCGTGGTTTCTTCCGAACCCACCCACAGATTCTGGAGACTATTCTTTCTCCTTCATTCATGAGGACTCTGGTATTGTGGGTTTGGGTTTGACGGACCGGTTGGAAGCTGTGGCGCTGGACTTCCTGCTAGCGATGTTCGAGTCCCCCTGTTCTAATAGAGATGTCTAAGTTTGCTGCATGTTCCTTTAGTCAAAGCAGTGTCTTCTGGGTATATGCCTTCTATTAGCTGGCCAAGGGCCGGCCAGGCAGGAAGACCTTCTTGGATGGGGAACTCGTCTCTCACTGCATCTCTTTAAAGTGGTACTCAGTGTGCCCTAAGGATAGCTGGGAATGGTAGGTGGAAATGGATGGTCTGTATGGATGATGAACCCCAAGAGTGGGGCTTTTAAAAGGGCAACATAAACTTGGGGGTTCAAAGGTGCTCAGAGTCTCTGAGAGTGCAGTGGGCCTTCTAAGGCAGCGCTCCATAGCCCTTTTTACTTTATACAAGTTGGGCAGGACAGCACCGCAAAGCCCCGAAGAAGCCTGGGGAAGAGGCAGCCCTCGCAGGAGGCGGCTGGAACTGGACCATCTTCCACAGTTCTAGGGAGCAGGTTTTCTCGTGGACCTTCCCCGACACGGCCATTCATCTGCACCACTCAGACGGCAACTCTCCAACAACTAGGAGCCGCTAGGACGGGATCCTGGGGCAGTACTGTGAAAAACACAGCCTGTGGTTTGAAATGGTCATCTCTCCAGTGTAACTAACTCAGCTGGCTCCTGTAGGGCACACCCATTCCCAGCTTTCATTCCTTCACAGGCTCAGTGGATTCAGCCTTCTCTCTCAGAACACCTTTTTATTTTATTTTTACTTTCTCACATATAGTCTCACTTTATAACCCCTGCCGGCCTAAAATTTGTGATCCTCCTGTTTTTGCCTTCTAGGTGTTGGGAGTACCCAGATGTGTGCCGCCCGGCCTAGATTCTCGGGGTGTCCTTTAGATCTATTCTCCTAAGTCCCTCCTTGCTGTTACTACTGCTATTAATTATGAAATCAGATCTATGACAGCAAAACATATATATATATATTTTATATTGGGGAGGGGGTAGAGTAGGAGCCATGCATCTAGCCCACTTCTACTGCTATTGTGGGGACCATCATGCAACAACATCCCAGTGGGCCTCTTGCTTGCTTAGAAGGCTTCATTAGCTTCTGATCTCTGGTAATGCTAGGAGCAAGTTCCCAGTGACCAAGGTCCATTGTCCCCTCTTATCTGTCAACTTTGCCACTCACATTTATTGACCCTTTCACCAAACCCGGTCTAGATGTCAGTCCATAAACATTTATAATTCCAGGTAAGCCATAACTGTCTGAGAAAGATACCAGGACGATGAATGTTCGTGGCTGTAGCAATTAAGCCGTACAGGGGTTAATTTCGCTCGAGTATGTAGTCTTCGGTGAGGCTATATGAAGCCGGGAACCTAGCTCCAGCGCTCACTGTGGTACCCACCTATCATTTTAATCCCTCTCTCAGACTGTTACGATGTCAATGAAAAGCGTTGCCCACAAGTTCACACATCTGGACCTTTCATCCCCAGCTTGTGGTGGCTCTTTTGACGCATCACAGAACCGCTGTGGGGAGAGGTCTCTCTAGAAGAAGCCAGTGACCACGGAGCGAGCGCCGACTTACAGCCTGGCCAGTTTCCAGTCTCTCTGCCCCTCTGGGGATTTGCTTTTTGTGGTTGATTCGTTTGTTTTTCTTTTCGTTGGTCCTGTCTGTCTGTCTGTCTGTCTGTCTGTCTGTCTCGCTCTCTGTGGAAGAAGCTGAAGTTGTAGCCCAGAGGAGCCTTTAAGTGCTGTGTGCAGAGCTTAAGAGGACACCGTTTCACTAGAAAGATGGACCAGAAACTTCTCTGGAGGTTTCAGAATGGGGAGGGGAAGAGGGCTCTAGGTGAGGGAACTGGCAAGGCCAGTTGTGTTAGATTCTCTCACGAAGACTCTTGACCATCTTTCCTGCAAGCCTACACAGAGCTTAATTAAAATATAAGGCATGATTGATGCTGTGGAGGAAATCTCAAGCAGCCAAGCAGCCTAGGATCTGCTCTCGCTGCTTCTATCTAGATTTGCAGTGAGAACCCGGAGCAGAAAGCAGAGCTGAATGGGGCCAGGAAAGGAGGGGGAGTAAATATAGGGTTGTGGACAAAGTCACTGCTGGCAATGCTTCTGGCCGTTAAAGAGAACAGCCCGACCTGAAGAGTACGTTCCAGCTTTCCATTCAATAGGAGGGTTCCTTCGGTACAAGACCGCCCACTCTGAAGGCTCCTAGGCAGCCTATGCCAACTCAGCCAGCTAGGGAGCTGTTTGATTAAGTTCAGCTGTACTGGTACTCAGAGCCTGCCCCAGCAGAGACGAAAGGGAGCCAGGCTGCACCTTGAATTGGCAGCAGAATTTACTATTGATTTTGCAAGCGTGCAAAATTCCAGAGTTAGAGTATCGTGGAAGCTCATACCAAGGTTCTAGACAGCCACCGGAGGACTGGATTACTACGGAGTGGGACCAGGCCCCATGCATGGAACAATATCTCCGTGGGTAATTCAGCAAGCTCTGAAGGTGAAGCCGAAGTTGCAATGGGTTTAAGGATGCTACAGAGCTAGAACTTGAGATATTTGCCAAGGAATACCACAGCCAGAGACTGGAGTTGGCCCAAGAAAGATCACATGTGGTACAGGCAACAGAGCTATAGGGAAGGGCTAGCTAGCCAAGTCCATTGGAGCCTAGACAGTGTCACCAAACACAAGGCTGCAGGGTTTGGCAGAGAGGGGCTTGGTTTTTGCCTTGGTTTAGTCCTTCCTTGCTATGGTTCATCACCCTTTTCAGGACAGAAATTTTTGTTCTATGTCATTGTATTTTGAAAGTGGGTAACTTGATATTTATTTATTTATTTATTTATTTATTTATTTATTTATTTATTTATTTATTTATTTTTGTGCTCATAGAGATTGCCTGCAGCTTTTGAACGGTATACAACAATATGGGCTCAGGCTGGCGCTTCAGTTAAGAGCTTACGCTGCTCTTGCAAGGGACTTGGGTTTGTCCACCACACTCATATGGTAGCTCCACCACCGCCTGCAGCTCCAGCTCCAAGGGATGGATAGTACCCTGACCTCCACAGCACCGACACTCACGTACGTGCACCCCTCATGAAGACAAATATTTTGAAAAAAAAATTATCTGTCACTGCAAACTAGCATCAAACTGGCCAGTTGTCACGCAGGCCAACATAGTGTGCCTGTCCCTGGACAACCGGAAGTGATGTGGGCTGTGGTTTGCCTGGTCCATGTTGCAGGATTTGACACCTGTGCGTCTTCTGCCGGGCAGATGTAAAGGTAACTCTGCCATAGGAGGCTTGGTAGTGAACAACGATTGCATGACACTCACAGCCTGGACCGAGTTTAAGTTGACATCATCATAAGAGCCCACGTAGCCTTTAAACTGCTAATGAACACAAATCAGTCTTACAAAGGAATGACTCTCATGAAAGTCAAATTCATCTGCGCTATTATTAGAGCAGCATTTAGCGAGCCACCCCTTAACATTTGTGGTAGACTATGTTAAACTGAAGTCTTAAAAGGCAGTGTCATTCAACTGTACAGACTAGAGGGGATCAAATGAGGTATTTCAGCTAGGAGTTAAGAGGTCAGAGCAGAGGAGGGACAAGTCATGATAGATGTGTTTAGGGTCACATTCTTATACTTGAAAATATGTATTTTTCTTTCCCAGGCCTTTAGTACATGTATCAACCTGGTGGTGTGGGAATTACAGTCTTCCACATGCCTGTCCACAGCACGGGTGTTCACTGAGTTCCCTCACGTCAGTACAGCAAAGGCCAAACGTTATGGGATGTATTTTAAGATGTGTTTCACTTGTTTGTGCTGTGGAATATTTGTTTAATGATGCAAAGATGTATTGCATTCTTTTACACTGGATTTGTTGAACTCTGTGAAGCTGTGAAGCCCCCTGATTGGTCTAATAAAGAGCTGAATGGCCAATAGCAAGACAGGAGAGAGGGGCTGGCAGACAGAGAGAATAAACAGAAGGAGAGGACTGCAGGGGCCTGTCCCCCAGCCACACAGCCAGCCCACAGAGTAAGAGTGAAAGTCAGATTACAGAAATAAGAAAACAGAAAAGCCCAGAGGCAAAAGCTAGATGGGGTAATTTAAGAAAAGCTTCCTAGCAACAAGCCAAGCTAAGGCTAGGCATGCATAAGTAGTAATAAACCTCTGTGTGACTTATTTGGGAGCTGGGTGACAGCCACCTAAAAGACCAAAGAGTCAAAGAGTGAAAAGAATAAACAACCAACTACATAGACTTGGAAGTCTATGGACACTAGGATTCCAGTTCTGCCATGTCTCAAAGGAACTGCAAGCTGGAACCTGAGAGTGGAAATCCTGGGAAGTAGCCTGGGATGCCTTTCCCTGGGTGCCATCTGAACGTCCCCTTTGCAATGTCTGGCCCAGCTTCTGATGAGGAGAGGAGGGGCCGCCTTTCCTCCTGCCCAGCACAGAGGTTTTCTTTTGCAGCAAGAATATTACCAATGAGTCATTTCCTTCCATTATTAAACTTCCTGGTCATTTTCATGTTTAGTTTAGCGTTCCACGGAGGACTCTAACAGGAGCTTATGTGGGGTTCCCTCTGGTGGTACGTCTTAATTTGTAATACTATTTCAACGCAGTTTTTTTTTTTTAAAAAGAAAACAAATTATCTTTTTTTCATTTTACATACCAATCCCAGTTCCCACTCCCTCGCCTCCTCCCATTCTCTCCACCACACACTGCCCCATCCACTCCTTAGAGAGGGTAAGGCACATTGCTTTGGGGAAAGTTCATATCCCTCCCTACTAAGGTATCTATCCAAAGAGAATGGGTTCCGAAAAAGCCAGTAAAAGCAGTAGGGATAAATCCTGGTGCCACTGACAGTGGCCCCTCAGTCTGCCACTGTTGGGGACTGCAGACCACCAGACCCTGAATTTCTTGTAAACAACTTGTTTTCCTCTGCTCTGAGCAGCCTGCAGCTGCTCTGAGCATGAAACCCTGATGGGTCTGCAGCTGAAAGATCTCGAGAGCTGGAGCATTTTGGGAATTCTTGTTGCAAGGATGTCCCATGGCCTTGTCTGTCTGTCTGTCTTTGTCTGTGTGTTTTTAAATCATTGGTTATTAAAGGACTGCTTTGAGCCTATAGCAGAGCAGGGCAGAAAGAACTAGGCAGGGAAAACTAAAGTGAATGCTGGGAGAAAGAAGGACAGAGTCAAGGAAAAGCCATGGTGCCTCCTCCAGAGATAGAAACTGAAACTCAGAGATAGTGCTGAAACTTGGCTGTGTTGCATGGCTATGTCATGCATAGCATTGCGTGGCTGTGTAGGGCTCTGTATAAATGCATAAGCTTTCCTTTTTGAGTAAGCACCACCTGCCTGTGTAATCAGAGACTCTGCTTCAGTTTCCTGACCGACCAGACCCAGATAATCCCACAGAAACTATATTAATTGCAATACTGTTTGGCTGAAGGCTCAGGCATATTTCTAGCTAGCTCTTGTCTCTTAAATTAACCCATTTCTTAGCCTGTGCATCGCCACAAGGTTATGGCTTACTGGTAAGGTTCTGGCCTCTTTCTCCTTCAGCAGCTGTATGGAATCTGACTGACTCTGACCTCTTTCCTCCTCTATCTCTGCTTGGATTCTTCCATCTTGCTATATTTTGCCCTTCCAAAGGCCACCGCAGCTTCTTTATTAACCAATGGTAATAAAACACACTCACAACATACAGAGGGGAATCCCAATTCTCACCTGTTAGCTCTCTTCACTCCCTCCTCTCAGTTGACTGACACAGCCCCCTCTTATCCTGCCCTTTCCTAATAAACTGGTTTGTTTATCTTTGTGGTTCATTCTTTATTGCTGCAGCCACGGCCAAACTGCCAAGCAACAACATTTGGCGCCGTGAGACTTGGTCAGGCTCTCATCATCATCCCTCTAGCCCACAGGCTCTAGGCATGTGTGGACCCTGACCCCAAGCCAACAGCCCACTTTCCAGTTACCTGCCTGCTGTGATACTTCACACAGCACTAGCTATGATTGGCAAGATCCCCTCCTCACAGTCAGAATAAACATTTCCTTGAACTCTTGGAAGTGATTGCTGAGTGTCAGGCACCCTTCTGGGGTTCCTGGGAATGGGGCCCCTTTTGCTGACGATCACCTCTGGCATTTTCCCATGAGCAAGACCTTTGGGCCTTGTGTCCTCAGCCTCCGCTTTAACCAAGTGGTTGGTGCCATTGTTCCCTGACCCTGCAGGCCTTTCAGGCCATGGCCCTCCTTTGGCTTCGTGACTTTGGACTCTGCATCCTTTGATCTTAGTGTCCTGGGTCTTCTTTTGGTTGACTAACCGTGAAGAGGCCTGAGACAGTAGCTTTCTGCTTCACTCATGGGCAACAAACCGGGAAAACATATAAGCCCATCCACTCCTCTGTGATGCCTTTTAGGAAACCTAAACCTTTCCACCTACTGCCATGTATAAGGCCCCTAGACTCATTCACTTCTGTACTAAGAAATGGCCCAAATATCCCCTAGATAAGAGTTCAACGACTCGTTAGATCCTGAAATTCTATGGGACCTTTTCAACTACTGCCAGTGAACAGATAAATGGAAAGAGTTATAATACATTCAAACATTCTTCTATGTCAATTGTAAACGTCTGTAAAAACCCGGATGGTCCTGTAAAATCCCGATGGACCATACACGATCCAGGAACTGGCCGGGAGACTTAAAATCACACGTACACACACACACACAGAGAGAGAGAGAGAGAGAGAGAGAGAGAGAGAGAGAGAGAGAGAGAGAGAGAGAGAG